AGAATAGAGAGTATCCTTCGAATATTCAAGCAAGACCTCACTATTTAGCTCTGCAAAAAAAAAAACCGTGTTGCGTAATGGGTTTTTTCCAGGTGCTTTTTGCAAATGTTCTGCGAGATATCTTTTTGTGGACTCTTAATTCAGAATTCAGTAGCAGGAAGTCTCTAGCAAATGCACTCTCAAGGGGGCTCCGTTGCAAGAATTTTGTTGAAAGAATATGTAAATAGCGGGCAGTTGCCAGGCGCTTCTGAGAAAGAACTGCAGAATATATTCCCTCGGCAGCCCTGAGAATGTTTAGGTCGTAGCCAGCACTCTAATTATACTACTATGATCAGGACACTATATAGCATACTTGCATTATATTATGAGTCCTCTATTTTATGCAATTCTTTTCCGTAAACTTTTCTGGTAACTCGATTTATTGTTCGCTCTTTTCTCAGAAAACTTTTGAAAAAGACGAATAATTCTACTCACTTGTACACTTACAAACATTCCGATAAAAAAACTTTTATTCAATATTGAATTCCTAACCATAATGAAAACACCGTCTCAAGCACTGTCTACAATGTATTGTATTCTGAGAAATCTGTTAAAACCATTCTATGTCAGAAGAGTGCAGTACTCAGAGTTCAGTACTCTGCTCATTTAAGGTAATTTAACGCATGGACTCTGTTATTATCTCTCTGTCAAAAACATTTTTACATGCATTTTGTTAGCAGCATGCACTCTCCACATGCATCCTGATACGAACACATAGTGCCGGTACAATCACACACAGGTACAGACACTTATATTGTCTCTCTGCTACAAGGACTCCGGCTATCATAGGTGCATGTACTAAGTACTATGCTAAAAATACATGTACACTTACACCAACAAATTTACCAACTCAATGCTACTAGCAGGATTTTTGACGAAAATGTATGGCCGTGCGTGTCGAGGTATAGTCCTATCATTACAGAGTCTCAAACAGATTTAATTTCTTATGTTGGTTGAATTCTGCCAAATTGGGTCAAATGTAGAGCCCAATGGAGCGTGAGGACGACGTCAGAAGAGACGTCATCTACCGTCATTTAAATGGCAAAAAATTATAAACTGAAATGATATTAATTTAATTATCAAATCAAAGTAACATTATTTTGACCCAAAACTGCATTCTAAGCGTCCTGTTGAACCGTATTGGCTAAAACTTGAATCAAATAGTTTCGTAATTGAGTCAACAATGGTGTTGTTGCTAGACGGGACCCTATAAACTTATTATGTTCGGTTTTTCTTTCTATATTTTGAAAGAACGGCCGTTCCTTTCTGCTATACGAAGGGTTCACTTGTAGGTAATGTAAGAATTTATGGTTTTCAGATTAAAATGCATCTAAATATGTTTGTTAAATAGCATCAATATTGCTATTATGTACAATAACGTATAATAACACATTTAGTTGCGTAATTAGACTAAAGTCGTAACAAGTCGCATTAGACCAAAAAGCGATGTAGTATCGGATTACTCAGTAAATCAAAGATTTCAGAATTTATAATATAATTCTTGTATTCCCCAAAAATGAAAGTAATTAGTAATTGTTTTTGAAACAATCTAAATTTTACGATAAAAGTTTTCAGATCTGGTGGTGATTGTTTTGGTCTCGTCGTAGGATTTCTTTTTCATGTAGGACCTACAAGATCGCTTCGCTTGCAGTCTCTTGGACAGTTACAATGCACGAGAAATGCCATGCAAGTTCTTACAATGCTTTGCGTATGCATTCACGCGATCAGGTAATTAAAGTTCAGCTATCGTCTGGATAGCGGGACTGGTTCTTTATTTTGAGATATCCATTGTCGGTTGCACAATTACTCGAAAAAAAGTGAGATGCGCCCTCATTTATTACATTCTTTCTTCGACTCAAAATTAAATAAAGAAATATAATCAAGAGCAAGAATGAATTTGAAACTATTTGATGTCGGAAAAAGCAAGAAAAGGTTTTAAAATTTATTCTTTGCATTTTCTTGATAACTATTTGAAAGCTTTTACTTGCATTAGAGATACTGAAAAATTGCGTGTCTTGTACCAATCAGCGCAATCAACCTAAAGTTCCCAAGTAAAAAAAAAAAAAATTCTGAGGCAGGGTATGCATTCAGCAAATAAAATTTACCTCTCCCGAAAACAAAAAATTAATTAATGATATTCGACAATTAGCGCTCACGAAATAGAACAGGAGAAGAGTTAAACATATCAATACCCCAAAAAACAAGGGTCTGTGACTATCAAAAGTCGCTACAAACTGAACGAAAAGTTTGTAGACATTTTAAACTCGGAGCTAAATTGTCTGGTCACTTCTAATACAATAGTCCTATAGTAGCTTGAGCGAGTCTGGGTACTCACGTTAGACGCGATCTGTTTTCATGAGTTTCCCTTCCGTCAAAATAATAATATTACAATAATATTACCAATACAAGTAATAGTACAAGTAATCCAGTATCGAGTAATAAACGAATACAATATTACTAATACAATTTTCGAGAATATACCAATACAATGATATTACTAATACTATAGTCCTAGTAGCATGAGCGAGTCACAGCACTCACGTTAGACGCGCTCTGTTTTCATGAGTTTCCCTTCCGTCAAAATAATAATATTACAATAATATTACCAATACAATATTACTAATACAAGTAGTAGTACAAGTAATCCAGTATCGAGTAATAAACTAATACAATATTACTAATACAATATTCAAGAAATACCAATACAATAATATTACTAATATAATAGTCCTATTGTAGCTTGATCGAGTCTCAGCACTCAAGTTAGACGCGATCTGTTTGCACGAGTTTCCCTTCCGTCGTCAGAAAATTCGCCTTGACAACAGGAAACTCTTGTCGCTAGATGATTCTATGCCGGATATTGACAGGTGGATTTTTTAAATGAATGGCATCTCGATTTGCAGGTTCTGAGTGAAAATAAGTCCGATACTGGATTATGGAATTGGTGTAGGGAGACTCGAATAGTAAATTGGAATTGGATGAAAATTTTCGTTTTAAAGATCGAATTGGGGAATAAAACCAGCCAGAATTTTACTTTCTCGTACTCAAAGTTATGTAATAGTGAGAAATCTGCAATACGAATAAAAATAAAATCCTAACATACATTTTATTGAGCCGTCTTTGAAGCGGTCGTAACCAATATACAATATTTAATAAAAATTTGCAGCTTGCTGAGTGGTGTTATGTGTGATCATGATACCTCATCTTTGCATGCGCCTTTAACTGATTCGCTATATGTACAGGCTTGAGAGCGACGATAACGATTAAAATGAATCACCCCCTTCCCTTCTCAACATCATGTGATTTGACTAGAAAGGCATTAAGATAATATTTTATAACGTTCTAACTTCATGCGATTCGCTATCATGGAACTGCGCAATGTATGACGGCCATTTTTGGCTGGAATTTATTATATTTTTGCTCAGACGTACTACTTTACGTTTCTTGCCAGTTAATGATCATGAGCTCACAATAATGAGAGACGTCCTGACAGTTTCCTTTTGCTGCATTCGGTCGATCTGGCGAACACAATATCGCGGCAGCACAGCTCATCCTATAATGTATATATGGTTTCAGTCTTCCTAATGATGAACTTATTTATTCTTATCATTTTCAGCTCCTCCTTGCATGGATGAATATCATGCTGTTGACTACGTCAATTATATAGTCATTTTCAAATTTGATTGTGTACAGAATAAAAACTTTCTCACAAAATTNTGTAACAACAAACAGGAAAATTATTTAATTCTCAGTCCAAAAATCCACTGAGCGTTATTATTTTGACAAAATTGGCTTTTGAATTCATTCCGAATTACGTTAATAGAAATTATCACTGGATCGACCGAGGGGCTTCCGAGAATTCAATGTTTTTTAATATTCATCTCTTAAAAATATCTGACGTATTGATGAAAAAGAAAATGATTCCTGAAGATATGAAGTTTCATGCGTGCAAAATAGATCTGCTATTACTGCATGCATTTTGAAATATTATCTTGCCAGTGACTAGATTTTCCTTTATTATAATATTCAATCTATTTAAATAGTTACGTATTGATACGATGCATTTTAATAATACACATGAATTAGAATTTTACTCTAACCCCAAAATTCAGCATCAATTACGTAATCCCTTTCGTGACCAAATTAAGTCATTCACATGCAGGATTATTTGAATAAAAGGATGACCAATATAACTCTTCGATTCCCATTGGAATATTTAGCGCTAACAAAACAGAACGTGAGAAGAGTTAAACAAATCAATGCCCCAAAAATATGTGTATGTGACTTTCAAAAATCGCTATAAACTAAACGAAAAGTTTGTTTTCAATTTGTACTCGGATCTAATTTTTTTGTTGCTATCAATTATGCGACTCTGATCAATTAAGTGTCATTTGTGCACGACCGATCACTGCTCGAAGACGAATCACTAAACTGTGCCTCTTAATTATTGTTTATTATTATTACTATTAATATAATTTTACTACCATTATTATTATAATTATTATTAATATTTTTATTATCATTACTATTATTATTGATAAAACAATATGATTATGTTCTCGAAGAACAAAAGAGGACCTATATACATGGCAGCGAGCCTCTTAAAGCACATATGTTCGTTGCGATGTTGACGCACGGATTCGCGGTGCTCTTATCGCGACTGTGTGCTCAATTATTATTAACAGGCTGCCAATATTCGGGTCAATTATTGCAAGTTTATGAGCGAATTGTAAAGCACATGCTAGCCTAATAGCATGGAGTTGCATTCGTATTGCCAATATCCTATAGCCATATTGCTGCATTCGTGTTGTCAATATCCTAATGCCATGTTGCTGCATTCGTACAGCCAATATCCTATAGCCATGTTGCTGCATTCGTGTTGCCAATATCCTATAGCCATGTTGCTGCATTCGTACAGCCAATATCCTTTAAGGTGCTTATACACAGGGCTATTAGTAACGTATATTGGTTGCGTTAAGGTGCTTATACACAGGGCTATTAGTAACGTATATTGGTTGCGTTTACTTGGTGAGGTTACTAAAATTTGTGAAGGTTGACGTGTTCAGAGGCAACTAGCTGGTGCAGGCAACGGAAGTTGTTCTAGTGGGCTCAGTAGCTACTCTGCTTTCGGACTGTGCACAACTGCGTTGCTCTCGACTCTCGTCTTGATTGTGCTATAAGTGACTTTAGTCATCCGAGCATGTCCTGTTCAAACGACAGCTCTAATAAGAACGTGAAGTGGAGTCCGGACGATATTGTATTGTTTTTGGAGACGTTCCATAAGTATGAGTTGCTTTGGAATATACGCCATGAGGACTATTCTAACAAAACCAAGAGAGAGACTAATCTTTTGAAACTAAAAGAAGACCTTATTTGTCAAGGTTTGGTTGTACCTGATATTACATTTTTAAGGGCTAGAATTAGAAATATACGATTAACGTACAAAAATGAATTGACGAAGGTGATCTCTTCGAAAGCAAGCGGAGCTGGTACAGACGACGTTTACACGCCCAAACTACTTTGGTTTAAAACGGCTGATTCTTTTCTGAACGACGTTGTCGTCACGCGACAATCGCAATCTAATCTGGTAAGTAAACCTATTCCAAATAAGTAACAATTACTTGCAGAAAATTAACCACAAATTGTGTCAGGATAATAAAAATGTAAATTCAGGTATGTAAGGTGAAATTTCTTTATTGCATTTAAATTATTTAAGATTTCAGCAGAGAATTTATAATGCATTGCTTATGATGAATGAAAATATTACAAATCCGTAGATTAGTGTTGGCAAGATATTGAATTTTTAATTTAATTTTACTCTGAACATGTTACATTCCGATTGCCTTCATTTGCCAAGGAACTTTTCCTTCATTGTTGAAGTAGGCAGCCAGTTCATTCCTTCTTTCTGATGCTTTTTTGGAGTGGGGGTTCGCTGCACGAGTACTTTTTAGGGATGGTAGCTCGATTGCTGCTGTACGCCACAGTCCTTGATGCAACACTCCTGTTTCGGTGTCTTCGAAATCGGCCCATCCTTTTTCGAAGTATGTAGCTGGCGATACTGTGCGCAACCAGTTGTGAATAGTGCATGCAGCTTGCACGATTAGGTCAACTGTCGAGACTTCAACTTCGATTTCTTTTCGAAATATTCGAAATCGAGCTGCTAATATTCCGAACGCGTTTTCAACAACTCTTCTTGCTCTTGATAAGCGATAGTTGAATATGCGTTCTTCTAGGGACAAGTTTTTTCTTGAGAAGGGCTTCATTAGATTATTTGACAAGGGAAATGCATCGTCTGCTACAATAATGTAGTCAGGAGGCAAATTCAGGCTGTTGTTGTCAAGAGCACTTTTCAAAGTAGACAGCGTGAACACGCTTCCATCATTAGCGCGTCCATTTGTGCCCACATCAACATAGATGAACTTGCAATCAGCATCCGCCAGAGCCAGCAGTATTATGCTGTATCCTCCTTTGTAGTTGTAAAATTCTGCACAACTTCCAGGAGGTCGTTTGATGGCAACGTGCTTGCCATCCAATGCACCACAGCAATGTGGAAAATTCCATTTGATTTCAAAGTTTCTCTGTATTTCCTTCCATTCGGCCATATTTTGAGGTACCTGCAGCAATAGCAATACATAGAAGTTAGTTATGTCGTAAATTTAATACAGATACTTGAGATTTAAACTATTGCATAGAGTTGTTTAATTTTACATTTGGATTTATTTTCAGAAATGCGGCCCTGAAGAAGCTGATGACGGAATTCAACCAGAAGCTGATACCCTAGAAGATCAACAAGGCGAAGTTAACGAATGTCTGCATGATGATGGCCCTCCGTTCAACAGTACAGAAAATGAAGCAGGAACGTCAGCGCCAAAGCACCAATTTGCGACGCCAGCGGCCAAGAAGAGAAGAATTACAAAATTTTCGAAAGTTGAGAAGGCCATCGACAAACTACAGAATATTGCTTCGACATGTAAACCTTCGTCTTCAAACCAAACATTGGATCAATACGAAGCATTTGCTCATCATATTTCTCTTCAATTGAGGCAACTTCCTTTCAGAAGCTTCGTAATGTTGCAGGAACAGATTCAGAGCCTTATCAGCAAAGAAATGCTGAAAAACCTGTTACAGTCACCTGTCAATATTATTTCAACATCACCACTCGGAAGTACATCGTCGTACCAGTCAAGTGAAGAGGAATGCCCTAACAACATGGATTCCAATGTCTTGACAATCGATGACATCATTGATTTTCAGTAGCTTATCAATAATTAGTAATTGAATTGAGATTGTTAGGTAAAGGAATCGTCCCGGTTGTATGAAATTTTGTCTAAAATATAATATTAGACCAAAAATTATTTATCTCTCCTTTTACCTTAATGTAAATATTTTGTATGTGATTATTTGGAATATATTATAAATCTATAAAATCCATTTGCTTATAGTTAAGATTGTAACGGTGAAACCTTAATATTGGAACATAATTATCACATAAATTAATTTCATTCATGGAGCTCATTATTTCATGCTTTATAATTATATACTTATTTAATCGCAAGCCTTTGACACAATTATCATTTTTAAAGACGCAACGATAACAGATGGCTTCACGCTTTTAAATTTTCCCATGTATGAGCATAGGAATGCGCTAATAACTTACCTGCAAGTATTGCTGTAATCCACTTATGATTGATTGCAGAACTTCGGGAATAAATCTTGAAATTGTGGTGGCTGAAATGCGAAACAATAACTCTAGGGATTGGAAGCTATCACCGGTAGCTAAATAGCGCAGTGTAACCTCAAGTTTTTCTTTGGGAGTGATAGCATTCCTCATTGCAGTATCTTTCTTGGTTATTTGTGGCTGAATTATGCTGAGAAGCTCATTGAATTGGTCGGTACTCATTCTCAAGTGTCTTTTATATGCCATGGGATCTTCTGCCGAAAGTTCGCGAAACAAAGAAGATGATGCTCCAAAGTTATCTCTTCGACCAATCCAGTCCCTCACCCACACTCTACGCCGCCGATCTACAAAGTCTTTCACCTCATCGGCAAGAGCCTCAACGATGCCACCAACAGCTTCCTCGAACGCCTCCTCAAACTCGTTATTACGCTTACGTTCCATGAAATCCACCAAGTACCACCTCGCTCGACAACACCCAACGTCGCACTGACGCGGGCGCTGCGGGGCGCAGTATACCGAAAACAGTATACTAGTGTATAGGCTCGCAACCTGCAAAACGGTAGTAGACGCAACCAATATACGTTACTAATAGCCCTGTGTATAAGCACCTATAGCCATGTTGCTGCATTCGTACAGCCAATATCCTATAGCCATGTTGCTGCATTCGTACTGCCAATATCCTATAGCCATGTTGCTGCATTCGTACTGCTAATATCCTATAGCCATGTTGCTGCATTCGTACTGCCAATATCCTATAGCCATGTTGCTGCATTCTACTGCCAATATCCTATGGCCTGAATTGTTGCATTCACAAGCGTGCATGTGAGCGAATCAATTTCCTTGGCTGGATTAGTTCATAATTCATTTATTTGTAGATTTACAAGCTCGTAATTATTTGATAAAACATGCAACCAAATTGGTATCCGAAACATTTACGGAAAAAAAGCTAAATTTTCACAAGATGTTCAAGTTATTTCTACTAATTCCTTGTTTAAGTAAAATTCTTGTCCTCGCTTCATACCAAAATACACCATGTATCATCAATAGCACACGTATATTGAAATGGTTACAATGAAGAACAATATTAAACAAAGCTTTAAAAATGTGTAAATGCAAAATACTGACGAGAAAAACGGTCGCTCTGTTACTTTTTTTTCAGATCTTCGAGTATTTTCCAAAGCCATCCTGCTTTTCACTATCGAACAAATTTAATCGTCGATGAAACAATTTGGTTTCGTTGGAAAGATTCTGAAAATACTGAGGCTGAACAGTTCCGGCATCTAAAAACATTGTGTTGTCATGAGTGATGAACATCTAAAAACACAGAGACATCGTGCTGTCTTGAGTGATAAAATACCTAATAGAATATCCGTCTTCTTGTATAATTGGAAGGCAATGCCAACAAATTGATTTGGCTTTAATCTGGCCTCCGTCTTCGCTCGTTTCGCTAGATGATGAATGATGATGCATGTGTTGTTGCATTTGTCGTATGGGCGCAGGAAAATTTCAGGAGTTTGTAATTCATATCCTTTAATATTCAGAATGTCGTTGTAATATCGCTTGAGTTAAGCAATTCCCTTCAAATTGTACGCGAAAGCGCACTAGTTATTTCGCATTCAATATATATATTTTATTTCAATGTTATATATCAGGGAAGGTATGAAAAGCCAAATGCACTTGGGCAACGGTCGTGAGCATTTCAACTCCAAATGTAATTAACTGATATTTAGGGACGCAAATCAAGATCAAATCTTCTAAATTTATCTGCTCCGATCAATTGGTCACTCCTGTTTTGATTTCCTTGCAAATCTGAGGGACAAATTAGTTTCTAAAAAAATTATGTTCTCATAAAGAAACTTACTTCCGCACTCATTCGCTTATAATCCATGTTATTCTATTTAGGTGAGAAAACAACTTGAAATAAACTAAATAATGAGCTAAACTAAATACAAAATATATTGCCGATATTGAAATATTGATCACAAAAGCAATGAATAAAGTTATGTAATATTGAATTATGAGTTATGTAATAATATATTATTGAGTTATATTATTATCAATATATTATCATGTTATTTTATGTTATTTAGTTTATGTTATTGAGTTATGTAATAATATTGTAATATATCAAAGACCTAATCAAATGTTGACCTGTTACAGTGGTGATCGTGCGATTCATTGGCGCGACTGCTACCCGAGCTTGTCGGCCGTCGCTGCTACAACCTCATCCTTGCTGGCCGTGACCTACTGCCGCTAATGGGTACAGGTGGACAGGTGAGGTAGGAGGACACAAAGAATTACAGCGAACTACTGATGTTTAGGTGTGGCAGGAGGTATCAGATGCTGATTGACATTTGATGAATGGCTGTAGTGTTTGGATGAGCAGGTTAGGTGGTCAAATAAATAACGACGAAAATTATTCTTATTAAAATATTTCCTCGTTCGAAATCCAATATGTATTTCTCTTTTTGTAATCAGGCGAATATTTACCGGCCAACAATTATTGTAAAAATTCTACACACTGAAATATTTTAATATATTTGCCATGTGAAAAATTGTCTATATTATCTTATTATGAACAAATTTTATGAAAATTTCCCAATTCGAAAAGTGAGGATGTTTTAGATTGAAATAGCATCGCCCATTTTTACAAAGGCATTTTCAATGCTAACACACTAACTATCATGATAAATTTCGCGACACTATGAAGGTATATAAAGTTGTACCTTTACTCGCAAACATAAACTTGATAGAAAAATACCAGCGTGTAATTTTTTGGCGAGGTTCGTAAAGTCGCAGTTTCACTTTTAGTCTGACATTTTTTGGAAGATGTGAGTGCCAGCGATACCTCTTTTCTGAGATGCTATTACTTCGTATTAAGGCTGATAACTATGAGAAGATAAATTCCTGAGCACCACCACACTTCGTAGCGGCTAACAAGGACTGAACTTTACGGTGCTTGGGGGCCATTTTACTTTATTTTTTAACAATGCATTCTTACGCGGGCTCTTTTTTAAAGAGAACCGCTACTTCCCATGTACAGTATTGGAAGATGTGAGTGCCAGCGATACCTCTTTTCTGAGATGCTATTACTTCGTATTAAGGCTGATAACTATGAGAAGATAAATTCCTGAGCACCACCACACTTCGTAGCGGCTAACAAGGACTGAACTTTACGGTGCTTGGGGGCCATTTTACTTTATTTTTTAACAATGCATTCTTACGCGGGCTCTTTTTTAAAGAGAACCGCTACTTCCCATGTACAGTATTCATCCTCGCGTGTATTATGCTATCAAAAGTATAATGTTGAGGGGTTGCTGCAGTAATGTTTAAGCTTTATTTTCGCTAGCATTACGATGTTTCCAAGGTTCAAGCTTGATTTTTAATTTTAAGAATTGTTTGAGGTTGAATTATTATTTTATACGAATGACGTATATGTTTATAGAAAGGTATACATGCATGAAATTACTAAATTTTATTTAATTCAGATTTTCACTACCATTTTGATTTCAAACTCATGTATTTATTTGGTCCGCGATCGTCTTCTCCTTTGATCGTTCGGATTTCAGATCCTCGTATGTTATCGAAATATTAGTTTCTTTTTCCGTAGATCTGCCAAGTCATATTTTGAATTATTTTACAACTCTTTCTTGTTGGGGGACTACAGGACCTTTATCTTGAATATTAAGCATAACGTTACACAGTGGATACACTGTTATAAAAATTACCGTTAACGGTATTACCGGCATTTCAGTGGCCAGTCGGCACGTGAAAAGAAACAGTGTCGCCGTTTTTATTCTAATTTAACACAAGAAATCCGTAAAACATCTGATAAAAACGGCGAAACAGTTCATTTTCACGGGGCGACATGCCACGAGAGCGCCAGTGGGACCGTTTTTTCACCGTTTTTTCTAACAGTGTAGGAACTGTGTTCAAGCTTTTTGTATAGGTTATCGTGTAGCTCCTTCAGCCTTATAATGCGGGTGTAGTAAGTATAGGACTGCATGTTAATCTGCCATTGTGGCAGCCGTCTATTGGTTGCCTCGCTCTGTAACCGGAGTCCTTTTATAGGCACCTAGCATCGGTTGTTGAGGGAACACACGCGAAGAAATTGTTCGCAGGATTTTCTCTGAACCTGTTCATCCCCCTGGCCTTCATGGCCGACATAGCGCAACTTCAATGAAGCCTGGCACAAATATGGGAATAAATATTGGCCATTCCAATGAATAATACCTAAATAAACAGCCATGGGGTTATGAGCAGGAAGTTCCGGTGAACTAGTTTCAATTTAAATACTATTATGCATTTTTTATTCAAAATCGATTACCTACATCTAAAGTGCATGATGTTATTTCATCTTGTATTTGCGCCGGGAGATTCGAGCATTTTTTTCTTTTGAATAAAAGTGAGACTTAAATATCGGTAGGTAATCAGGAAGCCTCATTCGCTGCTTTTGATCTGGTGGAAGAATGTAGGAGCGATTAAAGCTGAGCCTACAATGATGGTGGAGAGCTTCTGCTGACGTCATGCTTGGCTTGGCTCAATTAGTCATCCATTGGCCTAGTAAATCAGACTTTACACCGCATAATTATCTTAGCTATTTAGCTATTACACACATTAAAAATAGAATAAACTCGTTGGTATTTGTAGTGAAAGGTTTCTCAAAATTCAATTATTGAATTCACCGTCGACGAAGCACACATTTTCAGTGTTGATATGGTTAAGTAGTTCAATAAAGCTACTAATTAGAGAACGTAATCTGTTTTATAGGCTGACAAATTGAATATTGTTTAGTTATGAAAGTTTATTCAGCAAGAAAGTTCATTGTGGGACCAGGAACACAAATGTTTCCTCGAAATATAGAATGTTGTCATGGAAAAGAAGTACCATCAGTACAACGAATAAATACTTGACGTATCAATATAAATATATTCTATAATCTAGTATTATCATCTAATTTAGGAAATAATTATATCTAATATTTTCGGTTAATATTCGTATATATCTTTTTCATTCGAATACAAACGAGAAAAATTCTGCTTTGTGAGGAATATTGGGCATACTTTCAAAAATTTTTAAAGTAAAACCAAAGAACCAAAAGGGTTTGTTTTTTCTCCATTTTTACCATTTTCTCTATTTAGGATAAAATTTTGTTTTTTAATATAAACGAGAAAAATTCTGCTTTGTGCGGAATATTCAAGAACACGTTTCTGCCAACCGGCTGCTATGTGTCTTGGGGTGCCTTCTTTTAACACGCCTAGCTCGAATAAGCGTATATTACTTTCTGATAGACAATTGTCCCGAGGCTGGACTCGTGAAAACTGATTTGTAAAATTTCACGAGAAAAACAAATCAAGACCTGAAGACCGAATTCGTAATTCAAGTCCAATTCATAATTTAAAAAATATAATTTAACATTTTGAGAATTTTTGCTTGATATTTAATGGCAATGCTCGTCAGTTCACTTTTGTGTCTTCATAACTTTTAATGTGCAAGGTCGCTACTACTGATAAAGCTTCATCAACTGTAAATTTTTGTTGCCTAAACACCCTTTTACCTAGTAATAT